CTTTCAATTCCCATGACACATTTGACAACTTCAACAGTCCTTCAGAGCCCAACTGACGTAACTCTGAAAAGTTCTAGTCTTGATGTTAACACTATCAATAACTCTTATCAACCCCCGCCCGCCTTCTGTAAAGTCTGCTTTACTAAACATATATTTTCAGGGTCAAGGAACGCAACTGAACCATTTTGGTTAGTGCCAAATGGTTTATTTGTCCGGATACCTTGCGGTGGCCATCTTGGATTTTAAAGAGGGCCGCCATTGAAAACCTATATCTTCCAATATATCATCTTCTAAACCACTTAGGAATACAATTTTGGTGTCTAACGACACATTTTCAGGGTCAAGGAATTCAACTGTACTATTTGGGATTGTGTCATATGGTAAGTTTGTCCAGATACTTTACGGCGGCCATTTGGTTTGCCGTAAAAGACCAGCACTGGCCCATTTAAGGCTGACCATTTTGGTTTGCCGTAAAAGGACCAGCACTGGCCCGATTCAGGCAATGTGCCGTCCATGGGCGTCGCGAGGGGGGGGGGGGGGGGGGCAAGGGGGGCGCTTCCCCCCCCCCTGGAAAAGCCACCAAAAAAAAAAAAAAAAAAAAAGAAGGAAGAAAAAGAATTTTAAAAAAATAAAAGAAAAAGAGACGCGAAGTCATAGTGGTGTAAATTTAATGATTTTTTGGGGGGGCAAAATGTCCCTGCCCCCCTCTAAAACTGAGAAATTCGGAATATGTTGCGAAATACAGGAATTGTTTGGGAAAAGTATGTTTTGCCCCCCCCCCTCTAGAAAAAATCCTAGCGACGCCCATGGTGCCGTCTTGCCGTTGTGGTTTGACTTAATAGGGCTGGTACTGGCCCGATTCAGACTATGTACCTCCTTGCCATTATGGTTTTCCGTAAAAGGGCTGGCACGGCCCAATTCAGGTGGTGTACCGTCTTGCCGTTATGATTTCCCGTAAAGGGACCAACACTGGCCCGATTCAGGTCATAATACCGTCTTTTTGTCATGGTTTGTCGTAAGAGGACTTGCAATGGCCCGCTTCAGGCTGTGCGCCGTCTTGCTGAACATGGTTTGCCTTAAAAAGACTATAACTTGCCCGATGCAGGCTCTGAATTGTTACCGTTTGCCATAATAGGGCCAGCACTGGACCAATTCTGACTCTGTACCGTCAACACCTAACCGTTTTGCCGCAATCAAGCCAACATTAGCCTACTTCTGGTATTGCACCGTTTAAACTGTATGGGTACTGCCAGAACAAACCCATAATAAGCCGGTATTGGCCCAATACCGTCCTGTTTACTGGGTCAATGCCATCTTTGAACCTTGGCGGGTAGAAATCTCTGGCCCTCACTGTCTCTGGCTTCCTCCAACCCAGGATTCAGTAAGGTAAGGATCATTTTATTAGCAACCATAAACGGGTTGGATTCGTTATTTAAACTACATAAAAAATGACAAAATACATCACATAAACTATAAAACCAATAATTAACTTATTCGAATAAATATGTAACTGAGGTTAGAAAAAGTAAACGTTAATATTCAAATATGGCCAGTTATATTACAAGATAAAATGGATTCTTGACAGTTAAAATTTTAAAAATGTTATTATAGCCTACAGTCAAAAACACTTTAAAAACATGTACTTAATTTACGCCGGGTAGAAAAACAACATGACAAACACCAACCGTACAAAGTTCAACTATAGGACGCACAAATAAACAAAAGCAAGCAAACAAACAAACAAACAAACACCCCCAACACCCCATCAAACAAACAAACAACCAGCAAATGACAAACGACCAAAACAGGAAAGACAATCAAACAAACAGACCAAAACAAACAGACAGACACCCCAACAAGGAAACGACAGACTATAACAGGAAGCCGACAAAGAAACACACCTTCATAAACAGACAGGAAATCAGTCATACACTAAGCAATCAGAAACTAAGCGAGTGTATGATTACCAACATGAAAACATATTACTAGAAATAAGTACAAGAACATTATTTTACCATTTAAAATGTGGAGGGAACACCAGAAATCATGTATTAAAAAGCCATTAAAACCCAACAATGCAGCACACAAAGCGAGTAGTGTATCAGGCTGGAATAAGGTGCACCAGTGATTGTGAGCAGAGAACAACACACAACCACTCCAGAAGGTTGGGGCTGAACTCTCGATTGTTCTTTGCATTTCTTCAAAGTAATCAATATGTTTCCCACCGGCTGACACAGTTTTTCGCATTTTCATTGAGCCCCAAACAGACGAGGGCATGGTATATGGTATGCTCTGCCTCTCCACAACCACATGCAACTGATCCACTTTTGTAGCTCCACTTGATTAAGGCGGTCTGTGATCTGCCAGTCCTAGTTCTCAAGCGGTTGATAGTTTTCCATTGAACCCATGTCGATGTAGCACCTGTTGAAAGGTTTCCCGCCGGTGTTATTGCCATGAAAATCGGTGGGCGGTTGCTTCCCAGTCTTTGCTTCCAGAGTTGGAGTCTGGCCTCTCCCCTGGATGTTAAGAGGGAGTGGACATGGCTGAGGAAGCTTTTCTTGACTTCAACCTTTGTGCCAAAGCTTGCCGCCCTTGGAGGAGGTGACGCTCATTATTTATCACTTTGGAAATATCTTAGCTCGGCTGGCAACTTCCCTTCGGTTATCCGGAGGGGGAATGCCAGCAAGAAGGTGCAAATTACTTGTGTTGGTGGGTTTCAAGCATCCAGTGATCAAACTGCGTGTTGTTTAAGGCTGGGTCAGGTTTTATGGTATGGGTTGATCTCTCAGCTCCCAGACGGGGCACGCATACTGTGCTCAAGAATAGCACAGAGCCAAAGTGGTTGATCTTAGGGTATATGGTTTGACTCCCCATTTGGAGTTTGTTCAATGTCCGTTTGATGTTGTTAAGGGGAACTAAATCTGGATTTGTGTTATTTTTTTGAGGGGCTCCTTGAATGACAGGATACAATAGAGGGTCACTCCAAGGTAGACAGGATGCCTACAATGGGCCAATGGTGTTCCGGACCGTTCGATGTTAAGTGGTCGGTTGGCTTCGTGGTTATTACGTTCCTGAGATGGAACGAGCAGACTTGGGTCTTAGCGAGATTGGCACGGAGGTGATTGCGCTCAATAGTATAGAGACGGCCAAGTGCTGAGGTAAGTTTTGCTTCTATGGCTTCAAACGGAATCTCTTGAGATGTAACACAAACATTGTCCGCGTAGATGAAATGCTCAGTGTCCTGGCTTATCGGTTGGTGATTTGTATAGACGTTATACAGCAACGGAGCTAGCACACTGCCTTGAGGTAGGCCGTTTTGTTGCCGTCGCCAGGGAATTTGTTTGTTTGGTTTTTTTTTTCAGAACAACAAGGAAGCATCTGTCTTTGAGAAGGGGACCGATAAGATCTGTAAATGCCAGGTATTTCGGTCAACTCCTTGATCTTTTTCAGGAGGCGGTGTTGGTTTACAGTATCATTATGCGGCCGAAAAATCGACAAAAATACTCTACTTATTTGTCCTTTTGGAGCCCATCCTCGACATGCTGTGTCAGATTAATCGTTGGCTTGTTGTTGACTTGCAATGTTGCAAACTGGGTTGCTAAGGGATAAGGGATGTTTCAGCAACAGGGGCAAGCCCGTTTAGAATCAGGCGCTCGAACATGAACAAAAACAGTAATGGGTTTCTGTCTGGGCGATGTTACCTGTGGCCTCCAAAGCCTACAGTGAACTAGTTCAATGTGGATGCAAGAGTCAAAGCAAATGCGATGCAAGACGTGCATGCAGCTGGAAGGTATACTGCAAGTGCACTAACCTCTACGGTTGCAACTGTGAGAAATAAGGCGAGCACTTTTAAACTGTAAACTGTGGTGAGTGATGACAGTTATTCTCACATAATTTTGTTTTATATATACTTCACGCAGTATGTTCAGTGACTGCAGTGTATCAACGGTATTCTTTTAGAGATTTCATGTTCAGTTTGTCTCTTCTGTGTGTAAATGAAACTGAACTATCTGAGGCTCTTCTTAATAAAAGAGTAGTATTTCCTGACCCTCAAAATGTATGTTTTGACACCTAGACTGTGTTTCAATGTGGCGTAGTAGCTGAGATATCAGTAAATGCAATTCTTATCTGGCGGCCATCTTTAAAATCGAAGATGGCCACAATAGTGAATGTGTACAAACTAGCCATTTGACACTATCCTAAATGGTGTAGTTGTATTCCTTGACCCTGAAAATGTATGTTTACATGGCAAAATGTTAATCCTCAGTGGCTTAGAAGAACAGGTATTGGTAGATCTAGGGTTTTAGTGGCGGCCATCTTTAAATCCAAGATGGCCACCGTAATCTATCTGGAAAAATTAACCATTTTGCACTAATCCAAAGGGTTCAGTTGCGTTCCTTGACCCTGAAAATATATGTTTAGACACCAAGATTTAAATCCAGAGTGGCTTAAAGATGCAATACATGTATTCGTAGATATGTTTTAAATGGTGGCCATCTTTCAAACATAAGATGGCCACAATAGTGTACTTGGACAAACCAACTATTTGACACTATCCCAAATGGTACACTTGCGTTCCTTGACCCTGAAAATGTATATTAAGACACCAAGATTTGAATCCTAAGTGGCTTAGAAGATGAGATATAGGTAGATATAGTTTTTTCAATGGCCTCCATCTTTAAAAATCCAAGATGGCCACCATAATGTAATTGGATAAGGCGGTTCCTATCAAAAATTCAAAGCTAAGGCTATGAGGAGCATGTTATGGACAATTTGGCGCTTTTGTCCGGAATGTCCATATCCATTCCAAAACCTGGCCTAAGCTGCCTGACTATTAAGATTGTTTACACATTTGTGGTATATTTAAAAAAAAAAATCCATTTAAAAATTAAAAAGCCTTTTTCATTGTACCATGGATATGCTCTTTATTATCTCTGCTCTGTATTACAGGAACACAACCACAACCCAATTTCACACATATAAAATCCTTAGCCACATACCTGCCATACCTGGTTTTGGTATCACAAGCCTGTTCAGTGCATCATGTAGTTTCAGTATCTCAGCTTTCTGCTCTTCCAGTGTGTCATATAAAGCATCCATCTGTATCTGCTGAGTAGCTAAATTAGAAACACAGAACAGCAACAATATTTACAGCCAGGGGGATAAAAAGGAACGCCCTCATGAAGGCAACTTGCAGAACTGTCACGCCTTTATTAATGAACCACTTAGTACATGTAACTGTTAATCTGGGTTTACCTTTTACTATGTAATTCTAAAGCACTAAATGTGTGTGTGTTTTCTCTTCATTTTTGTTGTTGTAAGATATAAATCCTGAGCTTGCTTGGGGGAACTGAAACCTATCACTATGACCTCCTGCTTACGAGTGCAGACATCTTAACCACACAATCACAGAGCTAATTCGGGTTAAATGAGTAGTTAGAATGCGATATAGCAATGGATTAAAACAAAGTTTTGTGTGTTGAAATTTTGCATTAGGATTGAATGCTTAAATAGTTCACAGTGGTGTTAGCCAAAATCTTAAATGTTATCTTTGCACCACGCGATGCGTTCGACGAAACCATGGTTGGGACCTGGCGTATTTTGTATTCACATATATCACTGCGATCGGAAACCACCGATAACTAGACTTGATTTCCAGGCTGAATGCTACGTGTGCTTATCAAACAACACGCCCGGGCATGCATGAGGCGCCGTTGTATACTGCGTGCAAGTACGTTGGCCGCCTGTATCGCCTGCAGGCTCGGCAACAACAAAGAATGTATTTAAGACTACTTCAACGAACAACGTTGTGCCGTGCGTGTACCTAAATGTACTAAATCAAAAGCGCTAAACAAGGTAAAAATCGACGTATTTCCACAGTTTTCTTCTCTTTTTCCAGTTTATTTTGACGGCCAGAAAATTCCTGGCGGTCAGGAATTTTGTGAGATTTAAAAAACACAGGAATTCTGGTCAAAACTGGAAAAGTGGCATCTCTGAACCTTGACTAACCCAGAGTCTGGGAGGCTACATCCCCTCGTTGCATCTCTTGTTGCAATAATTTCTCTCTATCAACTAGGGCCTGATGTAGTTTTAACATCTTATCTTCAGCTCTTGCAAGCTCCTGGGCAATTTGTCGAGCTCTTGCCTTGGCTAAAGACTCAACCTAAAAACATAAAAAGAGATGAAATAAGCAGAGTTGTAATAAAGTCACTCACATGTCCAGTCAAATGTATAGAGGATGAACAGTAAAACAAACCTGCATTTGTTACATTTGGAAGACTTGAGTTTCATTTCTTACAACTTGTGAAAAAGTGTGATCAGGGTTCGACATTAGCGGAAGCCTGCTAGCCAAATGCTAGTTAAAACAACTGCAGGCTAGTCAAACTATTTCTTAAGTAGCCTGGCTGGTGAGTCAACAAAATTCGGCTACAGCAAAGATGAAAGGACAGGAAGAAATTAAAAAAAAAAAAACCACAGAAGTGTGGTTAGGGTCTATGAAGGAATACTTACCTGTAGAGCAATCTACTTATGCATATTCCCTAAACCGGCAGGTATTTACGCTAAGAGTTTACACAAAAGGGCCCTCTGGTGTCTCTACCCATAATACCCAGTGGCATACGTGCCTCGTGAGCATCCGTGAGCGAAATTTTGGATTCTAGATGCTCTGTGGTGCAATCTGAGGCGATACCTGGCTCCTTTCCCCTGAATTATTTGAGCAAAAGTTTTAAAGATTATAATATAAGGATTTTTTTAAATAAACTATTTCTTTTACAGATTTTAAGTTACTGTGTTTGAGAGTTGAAAACCATGTATTTTTGTCTTTATAATTTCTTGCATTTTATTTTTGCAACGATGCATTAGGGCATTTGCTACAAAAACTAATAGAAGCGCGGAGCACGAATGTCTTACGGCATCTAGAAATTTGAATTCTAGATGCTCCGTGGTGTATTTTGAGGGGATTCCTGGCCCCTTTTCCCCTGAGTTATTTGAGTAAATTGTTTTAAGATTATAACATTTTGTTCATTGATTAAAACATAATCTTGCTTTTACAAGCCTTCTAAGTTTCTTCTGTTCTTCACTTGATATCATGTATTTTCTTCTACATGTTTTCGTGCATTATATTTTGGAAAAAGGAATTGTAAAAACTCAGTTTGTAAACTGTTGCAAGGATGCTTTCTAATGTTTTGGTTTCAAGTTGAAATTTTCAATTGATCAACAAGAACAAACCGCTTGAACATGTCAATTGAATTCAAGTTTAAAATTAGTGTAATTTAATCAAACTAAACAGAGGAGCAATAAGGCCTCCATGCAGATTGTAACTTCACAGCTCAGTTTTATCTCATGACTACAGAAATTAATCATGCGGTCCTCCAAGTTTCTCCCTCTTTTTTTTGCATGATGTAAAATGCATTTTAACGAAATTTTCTTTTAATTCAGTCCAGTTTCAATTTCAAGAATAGAGGCTAGTACATGTATTTGTAAATAAACCATCACCAGATCGGCGGCGCAGCAAGACAAATTGTGTGAAACAATCAGCCTAGTTCGTATACATGCGTCTGATCTTTACAGATAAGAGACATCGGGCCTAGCCTTTCAGCGCCATGATTGCAATTCCCACATGGTACGACACATTTTGAAGGTGGATTCGTCTTTTTGTTATGTAAAAAAATACAGTAAATAATTGTTGATGATGACGTTGAGAAATAAACATCGGGAATTGGTGCATACCTCCCGGCCGGCACGGATGCGCGCTGGCCCGAATCGCCACCGACGAACTACGATCAAATTTAATACCTCGCTTGCACTTGACAAAGCAACTCCCTGCATTCCGTCTAGCTTGCAAGAGCATGTCTCGAGTGCTAAAACTTGCCTTTGGGCAATTAACTGCTGATTTTCAGCAATGCGTAGTAACGTCAAAAACCCAACTTTTGGATCTCAACTTTCTTCGTAAAAATAAAATTTTATGGATGGATCCATGACCTTCAGGGGTGTTTAAATTTTTTTCAGTGTTTTTCATCGTTTCTGGAATAAGGTCTTTACGAAAATTATATGATGACGTGATGTTAAAGAAGTCAATTCAAAACAAGGAAATGATTTTGACTCCGTGAAAGTACAATTTGTAATTAAAAGCGCGTGGAAATGCTGGCAAATTGTTCTTACTGAAACACACCCTTGACCAATGGTGTGGTCCAAAGAGCAGTGCACAACGTGTGTTTGTCGCGGGCCCCCCAATAAAGCTGCATGTTCATAGAGAATAAATCATAGGTACATTCGTATGAATCTAATAACGAAACATGTATATGTAGGGTAATATGTACGTATGGGGTACGTACGGTGGGATCGCGGTTTATTTCTAAGCTTCTCGAGTGGAGATCGGTGTGTCATACGGCCAGTACGCAATGTTTGCAGGCTGATGTTCAATATCAGAGCCGGCACGTGCCACCGCCCCCCCCCCCCCCCCCCCCCCCCCCCCCCCCCGGATCCGCGCCTGGGTATGGTGGGGTCATGGTGATAAAAAAACATGTTGTGAAAGGCAGGCCTGTCGCCTGGGGGGGGGGGGGGCCCTAGTGGGGCCGGGTCCCCCTTGGCGAGCAATTGGCCCCCCCCCCCCCCAGCGGCAAAAGCCATACATGTGTATTTGTAAAAAGCTGTAGCTTGAACAGGGATTGCATGACAGCACCCAGCACATCAGGAGAAATTCCTGCGGAGCCGGGTGAAGGAAACCCAAGCTGCACTGGAACAGAATATTGTTATCCTCGGATGTTAGCCTTGGGAACCAATCAATGGGACCAACAGGGAGTTAAGAGGAGAACCTTGTCATCCTTTTGTTCCAGTTGATTCAGTAACCGAGGGATAAGAGGAAATGGCCGGAATGTGTAATCAAGCAGCCCGTCCGTCTCCATCACCAGTGTATTCGTCTGCCACGTGCAGGGGTCAAGAACCCTCGTGCAGTAGACCGGAAATCAGGGACTAATCCATGAAACAAGCAGATTGATATGGTTAGTTGCTTAGCTTTGATCGTCACCTGCGCTGGTCTGACCGCAGGTCTGTTGGCTTTCTTAGATTGTCCATCTGAGCAGTCGTCATTGACAACTATGGATGTAAACATCAATATCAAAATAACAAAAATACATGCACAGACATGTTTCATCAACGGCGCCCGCCAGGCAATAGGCACATCGGGCCAACCATGAAATCAGCAATGAAGCCGAGAACAATTGCAAGGCTTGCAATGAGTTGGCTAAAAAAAAACGAGTCCTCATCCTGGTAGTGTTTGCGGCAGTGGGATCGGTGCAATAAATCGCCCAAATTTGATCAAAGAATAAGTAGAACGAAGTGGGTCGACGATAGTAATCCTGTTCCTACCTGAGAAATAGACGCCCATTTGTCCGTTGACATAATGTTGTCGATGTGTTCCACACACACTTGATCCAAAGGAACTTTGGGAACACTTTGTCAGTGTTAGATGTGAAGCCCGTCCTGCGCTTGAAAGATTTATGATCGGGCGGAGGGGGCTCATCGGTGGAGGGTAATTTATGTACCCGTTTTATGCCCCTCTACACAAAACGGAGTTCTGTTTCTGTGATGGACAGCCGCTGTAATTGGTCTGGTTATTCATCATCATCAGATGAATCAGCCGATTGCGAAGGTCGAGTTGACTCCGGTGAACGAGAACCTTCTAGAGGGGCGAGTTGTAAAGAACCACGCGGCGGTGGCTGCATGGGCAACTTCCTCGGAGACAATAGACAGGGGTGGGGATCCCAGCGAACAGCTAACTGCGTGCGGTAGGTCCTGTTGTCTCTGGTCCACCCAACAGGCCCACAGCCGGCAAATGTGAAGCGTTCGCCTCAGGCCTGGCCTCCGGTGCACGCAACCATGTGTGGTATACATGTACAAATGAACATGTACCTGTACATGTACATGTATCTCGTTGTGCTTGGGCCACCTAACCGTGACCAATGAATGACAACTGTGAACCATTCACTGCAGGTGGGTCTCCGGAGCACGGCTATCTGTGTGCGGTATGTCCCTTTGTTGGATCGAGACCAACGATTAAGGGTTGTGGTGCGTGGCTCGCGGCTTCAGGGGGGCCACCAATGGGGCCCATCTGGCGACCCATAAAGAGCCAATAGCGTAGATGAGATTGACTGAAAAGCCTGCAGGAAATCAGTACTCAAGATCGAGTCCTCACCACGGGAGCGTTTGCACCGGTGGGACCGATCAGAAGAGCCGTCAGAGTCTGAAGAAGAATGGCATGATCGGCGATCATCCTTCTTCGTCTTGTTCTTCTCCCTTGAAGAATGGCCCAGGGGTGTGTCCGAGGAAATGTCTGAAGACACCTGGGGCACCAGGACCCCGAACAACGGAAAACATCTGGTCCGTCCCGTACAAGAGTAATTCTCCCCGGTTTCTGACAGATCGGTTCTCCCCAAAGGCTTCATAATAATTGAATAAATATAACAAATAAAACAAGAAGATGATGAGAAACTCTACAAACTAACTCTTTTACTCAATAAACTTCTCTTATTAAGCGGAAAAAGGGTAGTAAAATGACGATAAAAACAGGAGCTATTTTACACACGTCATACCCAACCTGCCGCTAAGAGAAAAGAGGACACTCACGAGGACGCTCACGAGGCACGCATGCTGCGGGGTATTATGAGTAGGGCGCCAGAGGGCGCTATTTTATAAAACTCTTAGCGGGAAATACCTGCCGGTATGGGCTCCGTGCGCGGACAAAGAGGGCGCCCTTTTACCTAGCAACGACGTCCCATGGGTGGGACATTTCGCTGGTTGACGCTCACCGTTCCTTGTGTGTGACGCACGTACACCAGGGGATTTTTACTATGTACACGCAGTGGCCGCGCTTTGCGGCAAATGAATTGGAGTCAGGCAAGATGGCGTCGGTCGGTCACCCCCAGCTGTACTTCCTTTGCTGGTGAGGGGGTACTTGTGAACGGAGCGGATAGGGAATATGCATAAGTAGATTGCTCTACAGGTAAGTTGAGCGAAGTAGACACACATATATACTCAATTAAGTGGATGGTAGCTGTGTCAGTCAGACAGTAATAAATGGAAAAGTTATATAACACTTTAAGAAATATGGTAAAACTTTGAATGAGTTTTCGTGGCAACAACTACTTCATCAGATGAAGCAGTTGT